GAGCAGGAGGAGTGCCAAGGAGGACGAGGAGGGCGAGGACTGGCGCCTCGAGCGCTCGCTCCCGCGGCTCGGCCAAGAGAGAGAGAGCGAGAGCGAGGGGGAGCAGGACGGGGCGGTCGTAATCCAGCAGGCATCACTGATGCCTGATGCTGCGGCACGCCCTCCCCCCATCCCTCGGGAGCTTTCGACCCTATCCCCGGGATCTGTTTGTGTTCGCGGATCGGACGTCTCATCATCCCGTTGTTCGGAGGTGGTATAACATGCCTGCTTCCCCAGTCGGCGAGGGCTTTCCCCGTTTACACCTTATCCCTCCTCCTATTCTGCGCCTAGACGGAGGAGGTGTGGGGCGCGAGGATTCAGAGCGTCCAGGAAGGCCCAAGATGGCTCCAATATGGTCCCACATGTGCCAAGAGGGCCTCCGAGATGGCAGGCTATGGCCAAAGATGGTTCAACATGGCCTCCAACATCTCTCCGAGAGGCCGCAAGACGGCCCCAAGATGGTTCGAGTGCCCTTGGCACTCTCCAAGGAACCCTCCAGGATACCAACATCGCTTGAAACATAAGTAAAGCACATCAGTGATGTTTGCTCTCTCGCCTGTTCGGTCCGACGGGCCTCAGAGGCCCCAAGATGACTCCAAGATGGCCCAAGAGAGCCCCAGGAGGGGCCTAAGGAGGCTCCAAGACTGCCCTCAGAGTGCTCAGGATCGCCGGTGACAGGGTTTTGAACATGCCTGCTCGTGTTCTGGTATCGACGCCGCAACTTGGGTGGGATTCTGTTCCGTTGAGTGTTGCACTCAACATGCCAAACGACTGCTTCTCCCCAAAGTGAGCTCCACACGACAGCTTGATCGGGAGCGGCCAAGAGGGGGTTGTCCAAGAGGGGGGGTGCAAATCATGACCGGTGGCATGTGCGCGGCCCAGCGGGGGGGCCAGGGACGTAATGAAATAAGAAGCGGCGCCATGAGATCTGGGGAAATATCATGGCCCACGCCATGATATCCCCCCCCCTAGTCATCACCCCCCTCTTTTCCGCCCCCGACTTAAGGAGACCAGCATCACCCAACACCTTCCAAATGCCCACGCACACACGGGAAAATGGTAAGGCTGATGCCACCACCCACTCTGGCGGAAGGCGCGAAGCGGTCCGCCGCCCTGCCCGGGAACGGCGTATGAGATCCCTGCCGCACGATTCTGCCAGAAGCGCCCTCTTTCCATACAGTCGAGGCGTTGACCCAAGGAACCCTCAACAAGGAACAAGGCCCCTATGTTCCATAAGTTGAACTTCGATTTCGCATCGGAAACCTAAAGAAAATCCAAGGCAAGCTGCGAAACAATTAAGGAACACGGAGCCCCTCCCCAACGAAAAGGGTTCCTTCTTCAGGGCCCCGACTGTAAGAGGCCTCCCAGATGAGGTCCGAACAGATGGGGTCGGAGGATGGGGTCCAGAGGATCGCGCCGCTCGGGGGCCACACGTGAACCCTACCCATACCCCCCCACGATTTCCGAGGGAGAGGGTGGGGTTCACTGCGCTCGGGAGCTCCCGAGCGAAGTGGACCCCACCCTCCCCTCAGAAATCGTTGGGGGGTAGGGGTAGGGTTCGCATGTGGCCCCCCTAGCCGCATCGCCCATGCATCGCCCATGCGTCGGCGATGCATCGGCGATGCACCGCCGACGGCGGCGACGCATCGGCGCCGTGGGCGTGGAGAACCTCGGGCTCTGCATCGAGCCGCATCGTCGATGCCTCGGCGATGCGGCGCGGCCCTGCGACCCCACCTACTCCGACCCCACCTAGGAGGCCCAGATTCGGTCCTCACGCCTGCACTCGGGCGTTGGCAGAACTGGGTTTAGTGGGACCCTGCAGGGCAGAAATTAATACATAGGATTAGAAAACACAAAAATTGAATACAAGATCAATCTACTAATAAACCAATGCATATACATGATCCGCACGCGGAGCATGCATTGAAAACGGCACTGTACACGCGTCTCGTAGCCGCCCCTTTCTCAACACCCAGACCGCCCCTCGTAGGGGTCGCCCCCGCGGCCCGCGCGCTGCGCCGCCCCCCCGCGGCCCGCGCACTGCGCCGTGCGCCTCCGCGGGCCGCCACGTATTGCCTCCGCTCGGGCACGGCTTTGCACTTGGAGGCTCCCGGGCACGCCTCGACGTCGTCCCGGACCTCTGCGGAGACCCTCGTGGGCCGTTCTGGAAGCCTCTTGGGGGCCTCTTGGGCTCTTGTTAGGGAGCCAGACGCGAACCCTGCCCCCCTCAGAAATCGTGGGGGGTAGGGGTAGGGTTCGCGTGTGACTCCCTATCTTGTGGCCGGCTGTGGGGGTCCTCCTGGGCCGTCCCGGACCCCTGAAGCCATGTTGGAGTCATGCTGAGGCGAGGGCCCAAAGACGCCAAACACGTACAACTGACAACATGGATGTGCACGGCTTTGCCAATCTCGGGCTCCTCCTCGCGCCTCATGGAGCTTCTCCTGTGGCCTCCCGTGGGACTCGTGGGGCCTCTCCAGCCACCTTGGGATGTAGTCGAGGCCTCTCGGGCCGTCCTGACGGTTTCTTGGGGCTTGGGCGGGCCCCCATTCTCCTCTCAGTGCCGTGTTTGGCTTCAGCCCCTGTGCTCGCTGCTTGGAACATCTATCTGCTGGGCTGTTTTCAGGGCGTCTCGGGGCCCTCCTGAGCCGTTTCTTTGGCGCCTGTGGCCCCCCCCCGGGCGGTCTTGAACCCTTCCCGTGCCCTGAGCTGCGTACGTTGCCTTCTTCTCCGTACAGTGGAGGCTAGTCCACAAGAAACCTTCCACAAGAAACCCAACCCTGAGACCACAGGACGTTCCTTGATTTCTGGCGTGGGGACGTCGCGCTTTCCGTCGCAAAACCATCGAAACCCAAGAAACCCAGGGCACTCTGGAGGCGAGAGGGGTGCTTCTTGGCATGGGCTCCCACTGTAGTTGCCCCCCCCCCCCCCCCCCGGGCGGTCTCAAACCCCTCTCATGCCCTGAGCTACCTACGCTGCCTTCTGCTCCGTGCTCCATCAGGCCTCCCTCCGTCCGCTTGCGGTCTTCTCACCTCGCCACCTGTTCAGATGCCTGCGACCAGGTTCCAAAAACGTGCCGCGGCGGTGTCGCCCTCCCTGAGGGAGCGTCCGACCGAGAGGTCGACCCGGGAGGGGGAACAGGAGGACAAGGAAGGAGAGCAGGAAGGAGGAGGAAGAAGGCAGAACGATGGCCTCGTCATCACTCCTTCTCCCTCTCCCGCATCCTCCTCCTCACTCCTCATCCATCCTCCCTTCTCCCATTTCCTCCCCCCACCCACTCCCTTCCGACCACGACGAAGACGACGACAATGACCACGACGGCGAACACGATGACGACCACGACAGGGACCATGACAACGACGACGACGACGACGACGACGACGACGACGTCGACCATGGCAACGGCGACGACGACGACGACTACTACGACGACGACCGCGGCGACGACGACGACCACCGCGACCGCGACGACCACGCCTACGAGGACTACGGAAACGACCTGGCGCAGTTGGCAGTTGGCACGAGGGGAGCGAGTCCTGGTGGATCCTGAACCCTGTGGCTTTCCCGGGACCAGCGGCTCATCCTGACCTGGGCCCCAGGAGCCCTAAACCTAAACCTGAGAAACAGACTGCACGACCCCTCTCCTCCACTCCAGGACCTCTGGTCCTCCTGCCGATCCCGGGACATCGATCCCCTGACTTTGGTGGCCATGACCTCGAAGTGGACCGACCCGTGGCGACGAGAAGCCCCCTGCAGGCCCCCCGACAAGGACGAACAACCTCCAAGAGCCGAGAGCCGCCAGGACCCCACTGCTGAAGGGGCCCCAGGACACACGAATAAGTACACACAACTAAAACTATTCCCCATCGTTTCCCATATTTTCTGGGCTTATGTCTTCCCCCCCCCCCCACTTCCCATATTTTCGCATAATTTCTTGGGAATCGACGATTCATTGTGTCTGTGTGTTTTTTCCCAACCATCCTGTGGTGTTGGGTCCTCGTTTTGAAGAGACGGTGGTCCGCGTCTCCTCCTCTCCTCTCCTCTCCTCTCCTCTCCTCTCCTCTCCTCTCCTCTCCTCTCCTCTCCTACTCCTCTCCTCTCCTCTCTCCTCTCCCCTCCTCTCCCTCCTCCTCTCCTCCTCCTCCTCCTCCTCCCTCCTCCTCCTCCTCCTCCTCCTCCTCCTCCTCCTCCCCTCCTCCTCCTCCTCCTCCTCCTCCTCCTCCCACCATCTCGTCGTCATCACCCCATTTCGGCACACCCCTCACACGTTTCGTGGCCCCATAGGGAGCTCCACCGAAGGCCCCAGCGCTGCCGTCCGCATGCGTCCCGCACACCCATCTCGGCACACCCCTCACACGTTTCGTGCCCCATAGGGAGCTCCACCGAAGGCCCCATGGCTGCCGTCCGCATGCGTCCCGCACACCCATTTCGGCACACCCCTCACACGTTTCGTGGCCCCATAGGGAGCTCCACCGAAGGCCCCAGTGCTGCCGTCCGCATGCGCCCCGCGCACCCATTTCGGCACACCCCTCACACGTTTCGTGGCCCCACAGGGAGCTCCACCGAAGGCCCCAGTGCTGCCGTCCCAATGCGTCCCGCACACCCATTTCGGCACACCCCTCACACGTTTCCTGGCTCCACAGGGAGCTCCACCGAAGGCCCCAGTGCTGCCGTCCGCATGCGTCCCGCACACCCATTTCGGCACACCCCTCACACGTTTCGTGGCCCCATAGGGAGCTCCACCGAAGGCCCCATGACTGCCGTCCGCATGCGTCCTGCACACCCATTTCGGCACACCCCTCACACGTTTCGTGGCCCCACAGGGAGCTCCACCGAAGGCCCCAGTGCTGCCGTCCGCATGCGTCCCGCACACCCATTTCGGCACACCCCTCACACGTTTCGTGGCCCCATAGGGAGCTCCACCGAAGCCCCATGGCTGCCGTCCGCATGCGTCCCCGCAAACA